CTTGAGTTGGGTATGTGCAAGTGGGCTTAGGGCCAGACAGTTGGTCTGTACATACACTCTCCTGCACAGCTTCAGCGCAAGGTAATGGATTTGGGAGCAGGCAGGTGGAGAACTGTATTCGTATCTGCTGGAATGTGGGTGGGACTGGGAGGAGGCTCTTGTCACTGTCTTTGCACCCACAGAGCAGCCCAGTAGGTCCCTGAGGTATCCTGCTGCGCAGGGAGGGGAAGCTTTGGACAGAGGGGCCTTCAGGCTCCTGGGTGGTTGGGCCAGCTCATTAAGCCATTATTTCTCCTCTGGGACAGGCAAACCTATCTGCCTTCAGGGGAAGGAAGAGAAGGTCCCACTAGGCAGCTGGCTGCACTGCCACAGGCATCTTACTCCCCTGACCCCGCTCAGCCACCTCTGACCAGAGCGTGGCCAGGGCAGATTCCTGGGTGCCCGGTGTCAGTGCTGAATACTGCTGGGGAGAGGTGAGGTCCCTGTGCAGTGTGCACCCCTGGCTCCCAAGCACGGAGCTGGGCTGGAGTGACACCAGATCCCAGTGAGGGGAGGCAGTGCTCGAGCCTCACTCCTGCTCTGCCCCATTCTCTCAAGGCTGGACTGTCTGGAGAGAAGGGCAGGGCTGTGGAATATGTGAAACCACGATGCGCGGGGGGGCAAGGCTGGCTGCTGGCTGACCTGCAGAGGTTCACCAACTTGCTGCTGATCCTAGCACTTGCTCTCCCTCATGTCACAGGGCGCCACACGGTTCATCAGTGTGGGGTTCATGGATGGAATAGCAGTCTGTGGTGGTCCTGCCCCTTGCTGCTGATTGGCCATGGGGTTCAGTGGTCCCACCCCTCACTGCTGATTGGCTAAGGAGGCAGTGCCCCCGCGCCTCTCACCACTCATTGTCTGAGAGGGCCTGTGGTCCTGCCCCTCACCAATGGGACGTCATAGTTTCATAGTTGTTAGTGGGCTGGAAAGGACCTTACAGATAGGATTGCCATATTTCCAGGTCCAAACAAGAAGACACGGGAGGGAAAGGTGGGGGGGCGGGGGGAAATGACACATGCTGGTGCCCTGCTCTTTCTGTTGCCCTTCACTGACAAGCCACAGCACCCCCAGCCCTGCTGCTGCCCCTCACACCCAACCCACTGACCCCAGCCCTGCCAGTGCACTTCACTCCCCAAAAAACAGTACCCTGCCCCTCCCGCTGGTACCCCCCACTCCCAACCTGCGATCCCCTGGTGCTGCCAGTGCCCCACACACCCAATCCACAGTCGTGCAGCTCCCTGGCCCCCAAGCCCTGCCAGTGCTCCACACTCCCGACCCAAAGCCTCCTACACCCCCAGCCCTGCCAGTGCCCCTCTGTGCTCTCTGCTGCCTCAAATTGCCCTCCCCCTGCTCCCACCAGCAGAGCAAAGCAAAATCATGAACTCGGCTCCCGATTGCACACGTGCAGCACTAGGTATTTTGGGAACTGTAGTTCTACCTAGCGTCAGCCATGTTGAAAATGGACTGGGGGAGGAAATCCCAGACATTCTGCTTGCATTTAAAAAACCCGCCTGGACACAGCATAGGGCACCAAAAAAAGAGGACATGTCCGGGAAAACCCGGATGTATGGTAACCCTATTACAGGACATCGGGCCCAGCTCCCCTGCACTTGGGCAGGAAAGACTGCTGGGATCAGATGACCCCAACAAGATGGGCATTAAGATGCTTTTTGAAGGTTGCCAGGGTGGGTGACTGTACCACTTCTGGGGAGAGCCTGTTCCAAATCCTTGGTACTTGACTTGTCAAGAAGTTTTTCCTTATGTCTAGTCTGAAGCAATCTTCAGTCAGCTTGTGCCCATTATTTCTTGTCTTCCCCGGTGGGGCCTTGATGAATAGTTGCTCCCCCAGGCCCTGATGTAATCCCCTGATGTACTTATAGGCTGCCACCAAGTCCCCTCCGAGTCTTCTCTTCTCCAGGTTAATGGTCCCAAGTCTTTCAGCCTCTCCTCGTATAACCTGGTCTCTAGGCCTCTAATCATGCGCGTGGCCCTCTTTTGACTCTTTCGAGCTTCTCCACATCCTTCCTGAAGTGCGGCTCCTAGAACTGGATGTAGTATTCCAGCTGTGGTCTCACGAAGGCCAAGTAGAGCGGGAGGATGACATCCTTAGCCTTGCTCAAGGTGCCTCAGGGGATGCTTGCCAATATTTCATTAGCTTTGCTAGCTACGGCATCACATTGGTGGCTCATGTTCATTTTGTTGTCTGTCACGACACCCAGGCCTCGTTCAGTTGTGGTGCTGACAGGTGTAGCACTGCCGAGCCTGTAAGTGTGTTATGGATTATTTTTCTCCAGATGGAGCACTTTACATTTCTCTGTATTAAATGACATCAGGTTGAGGTCTGTCCACCTCACAAACCTGTCCATGTCAGCCTGTATTGCCAGCCTGTCCTCAAGCATGACCACACACCCCCATAGTTTCTTGTCGTCAGCAAACTTTGCCAGTTCGCTTTTAATACCCGAATCCAAATCATTGATGAATTGGGATGCCCTGTATTTTGGGCATCAGTAGCCACCCTAATTGGGCATGTCCTTTTAGATCCATGACTCGAGAAAAGAAGAGATTCCCAGTCCCTGTTGCAAGGTGCTGCTGTTGTATAGCAATGACAACTAACTCTGAAAACTAGTGACTCTTGCTGTAAAACAAATGCTGCAGTTCATAACAGAAACCAGAGATACAAAGGATCTTCGATCAGAGAGTCCAGTTCTCTGCCACGCCATGTCAGCTACTGTACCTCTAGCTGGAGCACTGTTGAGTCTAATATTAAATACTCCAAGCACTGGAGAAATAAACTTTCCTCAGGAGTTTATTGTGTTACCTAAAAGACCTTGCTGTCAAATTTTCCAATGCATTTAGCCTAAATTTTCCCCATTTAATCCTCTTACTCTCTTCAGTTCTGCCTAATTGTGCTACCCAAAGCAATTCTATTTTCCTCCTTGCTGGCTACTCCCTTTGAAGATTTATGCATGAATTGTCCCCACCCTTGTAGTGTTAATTTAACCATTTTAAGTCAGTTTTGTTTCTCTACAAGGCTATGAGTTTGTTTCCATTCCAGTGGTAAATGGATGCCAAGAACTGAATGTAATAATCCCATCTACCTCTGAGTTTTCCCACCTGCAAACATGACGCCAGCAATCAAAGTGCATGACAACTAACTATTATGTGCAACCATTTGCATTGTGATGTGGGTTGCACCATAATTTACAGGTTGATCATGGCTTTTAACTTATCCCTCCTCTTTAAAGGGTGTTTTTTTCTCACTGTGTGAATTAAATATAAACCTATTTTTAAAAAGACAGCTAAGAAAAAAAAATGTCACATTCAACCTTATGTTATTCCACTCTTTGGAAACAACCCAGCCTCTCAAATAATTTTCAGTGGTTTGGAAAGCTGACCTCATTTCATTAACACTCTACTTTGCATGTGTTTTCAAATCAGCTGAGCTGGGTGTTCAGATTTCTCAATTATTTCCCTTCTGCACTATATTTATCACCAGCTGTTTCTACAGGGATTCATTTTATTTCCGAACACAGAGCAGGCACCTTTTTTTTTTTCTCTCCTCCCCTTCCCCCCCCCACTCCCCCATTGGACCAGCTGTGAGATCTGTGTTGTGTTCACCAATAGGCACAGTTGCTGGGTTTATATGGCAGTTGGAGGACTTAGAGGCTAGGATTTTCAGAGGCCTCAAGCCCAAACTCCTACTGAAATTCAAGGCTGTTCACAAGAGCTCAGTCAGTGTTTATAACAAGGGCATTTATTGTTTTTCCTGTCAATACTATCCATGCTCTACCTGGGTTTGGTTTTCTGCACTAGAAGGATTGCTTATAACTGCCACTCTTTGCTCCAGGGGCACATAATCAGGTTGCAGTATGGTGTGGGCAGGGAGCAGGCAAGGTAGAAATAGAAGGCTAGTGTGACAGTCCCTAATATTTTGATGTGGCAATACATTTTCCTAGGTCTCTGTTTTGCTCACATCATAAACTTCAGCAAGGGGAAAACTCAAGGTTTGTGGGCAAAAACAAGATAGGAGTATGTTGAATGCTTTGTAGTTTGTGGTAGGAGGCAATCCATGGCATCTCTCCAGCTGCTAGTTTATGATCCTGAGGAGTACACTTTTTACCTATTGATTTCCCTGTCTCAGATGCCGTAAAGCAGATCCTGCTCTCTCCAGCCCAACATAGAGCTATTGACTCAGGTTCTGCCATAGTGATGTTTTCACATCTCTCCTTCTGGTAAAGACATCAAACTCACTGGATCCTTGCATGTTGTGAAGGGAAAAGGGAGAGGTGCCTGTGATTGGAAATTACAGAGAATCAAGAAAGTGTTTAGACTGAGAAAACAGAAACGAGGGCATCTGCATAAACAAGTGATGGGACAGCAAGGAGCTGAAGGGGTGAAGATGATCAGGAGGCTAGAGAATCCAAGAATTGATAGGTTGGTTGGTAACAGGGCCAGACTGCAAGAGAGAGGAAGGAACATATGGGCTGAAGATCTGAGATGACAGAGTAGCTGTGTGCAGCCGGAACAGATGAGCTTACAGAGGAGGTGAAAGGAAAGAAGTGTTGGGAAAGGAGAAAGAAACAAGAAAAAAGGAGAATGAGGACCCTTGCTGCCATCCCCTGCAGTGTGACTGTGGCATTTTATGCTTCTGAAGAAAGCCCAGTGAAGAAGCTATGGGAGGAGAGTGTGTGGCTGACAATGAAGGGGAGATAACAGAGAGGGCTAGATGTGATCCCTGTCTGCCTCCTGTGTGATGTTTCAGACTCAGCATCTTCTTCCGCATATCGCAGTAGGCATAGCTGGATATTCCTACCAATATCTCTCTGAGAAATACATGAGCCATTGTTGATGGTGGCTGGAAGGTTCCTACGGTCCCCCTGCCTTTCTCTGTCCCGCCTTGCTAGGTACACTTGTGTGCACTCTATAAGATACTATAATTCTCCTGTTTGTTCCCATTGCAGGTGGCTGTGAAAAACAACATAGACGTCTTCTACTTCAGCTGCCTAATTCCCCTCAATGTTCTGTTTGTAGAGGATGGCAAGATGGGTGAGTATTGTTTGGTAAGATATATGGTTAGCTTTTTCTGGGCCCTTTGGAGACTAATGCAGGCAGGCAGGCAGGACAGAAATTGGCAAAGCGTAGTTTGTTGCCAGTCATCCCTCAGCAAAATCTATCAACATCAGACTAATGCTTCAGAGCAGTCCATTAATGAAGCAGTGCCAATGGCCCCTAAACATCTGGGCATTAAAATTAAGTGGTCTCTCCTGTCTTCTAGTTGCCATTCAGTGGAGTTCACCAAACATAGGCAGATTAGTTTTCTTCTAGAGCACAGCTGTCCAATTGGTGACCTGCAGGCTGCATGCAGCCCATGTGGGATTTGTTTGTGGCCCCGGTCTCCCACCTGGGTGCCACTTCTCATATCACTCTGGAAGCTACTGCCATTGTGGCATCTAGGCTTGTCCACCTTCTTCCAACATCTCCTTCCTGCTTCTGTCCCTGGGGGCAGGGCAGTTGCAGGGCCCAGGGAGCCTACACAGTGTGTGCCACCCCACTCCAGCCACTCCAAAGTTGGACAGCCCTGTTCAAAAGCTGAATTCTGTTCTCTTTGGTGTTAGAGGGAAGTTGGACATTGATTTCGCTGGCTTGTATAGACATATCACTTTTTCTAGTGCACCTTTGTTCAGTAGCCCACTTTTATATTAGGTGGGAAAGCTGCTTGAATAAACAGAAATTTCTCTTGCTTTTACTCCCAGCCTTTTTCTGGTGGTAAAAGTGGAAATCCTCGATGATATGGCTGTTCTATTATTTTTGAGTTTTAGGGTCTCTTTCCTAGCCAGTCCTACCTACCCTGGGTTTATAAACAGCTGTTATAGTAAAGATAATCATAAATCCACACCTAGATGGTCTTTAAAGCTTTGTTGCTTACAGTAAAATTAATCTAAACAATGAGAAAATGTATTGCAGGAAATAATCATGAACCCGACCTTAGGGGTGTATGAGGTTTAGTTACTTGCGTCTTTTCCATTTCTCCTGCATCACTTTGACTCTTAATGATTGCAGTAGGTTGTGGAGCATGAGTTCAAAGCAGTAGGTTCAAAGTGCATGAGTTGATAGTGCCTCTCTACTCACGCTGATTAGACCTCATCTAGAATATTTCTGTGAAGTTCTGGGCTCCAAATTTTAAAAAGGTCATGGAGAAATTAGAGAGACAGGTGATAAAGATGATAAAGGGTTTGGAAAGCAAGTCATATGCAGAGGCTGAAGGGGCTAGGCATTTTCAGCTTGCAGAAAAGGCACTTAAGTGGGAATATGATAGCAGTCTTCAAATACTTGAAGGACTGCCTTAAAGAGAGAGAGCATCTTTTCTCTCTTGCTGCAGAGGGGAGGGCTCGGACCAATGACTATAAATTGTTAGATTGGAAAAACTTCTTTGCTGTTAGAATAGTGAGACAGTGGAATAGACTACCTAGGGAAGTTGTGAACTCTCCATCACTAGAGGTGTTCAGGAAGAAATTGGACAGCCACTAGTTTGGGATGATCTAGATGTAGGCCTGTGTTGTGTTATGGGCATATCCATATTGTGTTATGGGTACTTCTGGGCTTTACTGGTTGCCCCCACCCCTCTTTTTCTGCTACTTGTGTCAGAGTATTGTTAAGCCTTCTTCAGAGGCATTTGGGTGTTGGTTATTTTTTTGCTGGGGATTGATTGAGGTGTGCCAGTGCTTCTGCTGGGACTAAAGCCACAGGTTCCTGGCTAGAGGGTCTTGGACCTCCACTTGAGGTAAGACCAACCACCATAATTGGAAGAAATTTTACCCCATGGTCAGATTGGTATGGACTGTGGGTATTTTTACCTTCCTCTGTAGTGGGGAATGAGGCCCCTCTACCCAGGACCTCCTGAGTGTATATTTACTCCATTTTATAGAAGCAGGACATTGGCTGCCATGGTTCCCCTACTTTACCTGTGGCAGGTTACAGTGTTATTTCTATATTGTGTCAGGGTTGAGGAGTTTAGATTATGGATTGTATAGGATAGCTTAGATAAGGATGATCCTACCTCAGGCACTAGATGACCCTTCCAGCCCTACTTCTCTGTGATGCTGTGAATGGCTCAAAGAGCCAGGAGGATTGAGTACTCACACTGCCTATTCTCCCTTATCTAGAACGCCAGGTTTTCCTTGCAACGTGGAAGGACATTCCAAATGAAAATGAGCTGCAATTCCAGATTAAAGACTGTCACCTGAATGCTGGTGAGTGACTTGACTCTGATGCCAAAAGCCTTTGTATGACATGTGGAATGGATGGATGCTGGTATTGCATGTCCATAACACTGCAGGTAGAAACAGAGCAGTTTTCAATTTCAGATCCCAAGTTTTGTTTTTAATTGACTAAAATTTTGTCTAAACCCCATACAAAGAAAAAAAGTTCCCCATTTCTGGTCCCTTTTTTTCTTACCTTGTGTTCTCTTTTGTGCTTAGCTGATTTGTCTGTAAACCCAGCACAGAACTGTCTTTGGAGTGGATCTTAAAACCTGTGATTCCTTGTCAGTATTTCAGTGCTGTGCTGGTCCCCGAGGCAAGTTTTTGTTAGCTGCAGGGGCAGCCGTGATCCAGCAGAGTGAGAGGAAGTGATTAGGAACCAAAAAACGGGGATTCTAGCTGTGGTGTGCCACTAACCTACTGTGTGACCTTGGCCAAATAACTTTGTCTCTTGCTTTGTTAAACACTTACTTACAGATATGAAATAATAATCTTGTGTCTTGTGCATTAACATGTGCAGGTAAAATCTTTCTATTAGGTGCAATGTCTTACACAGTTATTGGTAAATCTGTTGATGTCTTCCTATCATCTGCCCAGCACAACTGAATGCTTAGTCATTTCTTTGCCTCTATGAGGCAAGAGCATTAGACTTGTACTTAGACCTTATTACTGCTGAAGAAGAGAGAGTGCAGCTAGCAAATCAGCTTTGTCTGAGGCCTGGATGGGATCCAGATGCTTCTCTTGAAAGCCCAGTGTTTTACAGAGGAGAAACATGTCCCTATTGATTACAACTCCCTGTAACTATTTTATTTTCTTTCATGCCTGCTATTACACAGTAATAACAGCCTCTGACTTCACTCAAAGGCAGGAGCCACTGGTCCTTTTGTAGTTATAATTATTGCTATTTTGGAACATAAGATGGAAAAAATAATAGCTGGTGTCCCTTATGACTCCAAGGGCTTCAATAAAAGCAACCCTTGAACCTTTGCCATGACTTTCCATCCTCTTAAACCCTAAACACAGACCATTCAGCCTAACTTGAAACTCTGCGTTGCTGTCAGTCATGCCCTTCTTCCTCTGTAGCCATCCATTACCTACTCTGTCTTGAGCACTGTGCAATACAGGAGGAACTAGAGGATAGCTTTTTGTTGGCTGCTGACTGCTTCTGGATGGCAGAAGTACTGGGATCTACAGGGCAGTTTAGAAAGGAAATGTTCAGTTGCACATTTCATTCTTGGAATTTTTTCCACACGGGCTTGGATTCTGTACATTCCATCACTTTTAGGTGCTTGTATAGCCTGTAGATTCATATAGCTACTTCTTTTGCCCTGACTCAGCCTCTATAACCTGTAATTGTAATGAATCTGCCTGCTCAGGATAGGAGAGGAGGGAAGCTGCCGACTTACTTCCCAATTATTTGAACAGGAATTGACATACTCAGCTGGCTGTGTGGTCCAGGGTACCATCACATTAACCAGTTCCAGATGCCTGTAATTATGGGGTATTGTACCATTCAGGGAATTTCTGCTTCTGTCCCTGGCCAGTTTATACAAAGTAGGCCAGTTTATTTATTTATTTATTTATTTATTTATTTCTACTGGGAGAAACAACAGGATATCAATAACTAGTAGCATTTGCTATTAGGCTGTGTTTACTAGCCAAGTGCCAGACCTCATGCCTAGGCTCACTTAGAATTGTAATGAAGATGAGCTCTGGTGTCGGGGGAAGAGTGGTACATGGGCACGCTGTCACCTAAGCATGTTTCTCTGCTGTTGTACTCTCTGTGCGAGTAATAACATTTCTCTATTGCCATGTTATCTGCAGCCATCACCAGGACTCCAAGATAGGAAGTTGCTGTCAGTCTCTTTAGTGAGAGCTTTGGAAACAGTGTCTCTTTTGAGTGCAATCAGTCACCAGGGAGGCTATAAAGCGAGTAGAATCTGCCAACCTCCTCTGCTTATTTAGGGAGGAAAGTGGGTCATGTCTGATAAACAAATTTCAAATGCTTTTTATCAGCCGAAGATGCTGTTCTTGTATCTCCTAAGCTGATGCCTCTTCCCTTGTCACAATTACATAGGCCACTTCTTTCCCTGACCGCCTGGATTTCTGAAACAAGGGGGCTGAGAGTCAGAGAGCCAAGACATTGGCCTGGGAATGGAAGGTATGGGGGTTGCCTACCCAGGGGCTTTAGCTCCCGCTGTAGGTCTAACATGCTGCTGGTACAGCACAAATTGTAGCATTGAAGCTTGACCAGGTTTCAGGGTGGTGTAAGCTGCCCCTGTAGAAACCACCCTGCCTCAGTTTAAGTCCAGTATAAGTGAGCATGGTTGTGATTAACCAGTGTAGAGTGGAGCAAGAGCCCTCATTTTCTCAGCACTGAAATCTTTAAGAGCTTGCTGTCAGTGTCAGTTCATGCTCAGGTGGCCTCTTTCCTCCTCAAGGAATCCAGGAACAGATAAATAACCTCAGTCCACCTTCCCTCAGCTGCCACTGGAAAGTCAGCCCAGTAGCAGCTGTATGGCTCTCATAATGTTGGTGAAGCAGAGGACAAACACTTTGGGCTTGTAGTCATAGCCAACTGATTGGCTCTGCCAGGGCAGCAGACATCACAAAAAGAATCTACAAATTTCAGTAGCTCCCAATTAAAATTCAAAATTTGCTGGACTGAAGCATTTCAGCACAGTTCAGTGCTTCCAATAGCTGCTTGCTTTCTATAATAGGTGTCCAGGCCATCACTTGTCAGTACGAATTTTATTAATCCCATCACACCCACTCGGATAACTGATTCATGACTAGCATGTTTCCATGAATACCCAGTGGTGAGTTCCCTCCCAAGTTTAGGAACCATAACACAACATTCATTTTCCAGTCTAACTGATTCCAGTTCAGCAATATGAATTTAGCTGAAAATTTTAGCAGCTAAAAATACCTCCACTCCTCAGCTGTTGTGCCCTAATCACAGCAAAACCAGCTCTTTAAATATAGTAGCAATGCCGTAGCTGGCAGTTGACAGATGGAGTTGAACACACAGAATCTTGTGGATTGGCTACTGAGGAACTAAGGTGGGATCGGGGAGTAATCCAAATAATATTGCCTACATCATTGGTGTGCCATCTGGCATTCCT